TCTGGAATTGTGATGCCTCCAGCTTTGCTCTTCTTTTTTTAAGGTTGCTTTGACTATTCAGGGTCTTTTGTGATTCCATACAAATTTTAGGATTTTGTTGTAGCTCTGTCAAACATTCAGTTGGTGTTTTGATAGGGATTGTGTTAAATGTGTAGATTGCTTTGGGTAGCATAGACATTTTAATAATATTTGTCCTTCTGCTCCTTGAGCATGGAATACTTTTCCATTTCTTTGTGTCATCTTCAGTTTCTTTCATCAGTGTTTATAATTTTCAGAGTACAGGTCCTTAATCTCTTTGGTTAGGTTTATTCCTAGGTATCTTATTGTTTTTGGTACAGTTGTAAATGGGATTGATTCCTTAATTTCTCTTTCTGCTGCTTCATTATTGGTATATAGAAATGAAACAGATTTCCCTATGTTGATTTTGTATCCTGTGACTTTACTGAATTAGTTTATCAGTTTTAGCAGTTTTTTTGGTGGAATCTTTTAGGTTTTTTATATGTAGTATCATGTCATCTGCAAATAGTGAAAGTTTACTTTTTCCTTGCCAATTTGGGTGCCTTTTAATTTGTTTTGTTGTCTGTTTGCTGTGGCTAAGACTTCCTTTACTATGTTAAATAACTGTTGAGAATGGACATCCCTGGCTTTTCCTCATCATAGAAGAAAAGCTCTGTTTTTCCCTATTGAGGTTGATGTTAGCTGTGGGTTTTTCATATATGGCCTTTATTATGTTGAGGTATATGTCCTCTAAATCTTCCTCGTTGAGGGTTTTTATCATGAGTAGCATTTGATTAACCTCTACATATTTGTGAATTCTCAAGCTTTCTTTTTGTAATTGTTTAGTTTCATACCTTTGTGATTGAAAGATGCTTGATAAGATTTCAGTCTTTTTAAATTTATTAAGACTTGTTTTGTGTCCTAACATATGGTCTATACCAGAAAATGTTACAGGTGCACTTGAGAAGAATGTATATTCTGCTGCTTTGGGATCGAATATTCTGTATATATCTATTAAGTCCATCTGGCCTAATGTATCATTTAAGGTGCAACACATATTTGATAAATTGCACTTTCTTAATTTTTTTACTGTTCTTAATAATTGATTTACTGTTTGGGATGCCTGGGTGGCTCAGTTGGTTAAGTGTCTGACTCATGATTTTGGCTCAGGTCATGAACTCATGGGTCATGAGAGCGAGCCCCAAGTGGGGAGTCTGCTTGAGATTCTCTCCTCTGCCTCTCCCCCAATTCATGCACGTTTGCATGCACTCTCTCTCTCTCTAATAAATCTTTAAAAACATAATTGATTTACTGTTCATTTTGTTTTACTTATATTTTCTACAAATACTTTTACTTGTGATTTCCATTTTTATCCCTTATTTACTTTTCTTGTTTAATTGAAAGATTTTATATTTTTTGGTTTGCTGTCCATTAATTTAAATGATATTGGTCTATAATTTTCTATTTTTGAAGAATGTCTAGTTTTGATATAATTCTTATGCTGCTTTTCTAAAAAAGGATTTACATAAATCCATGACTAGAATGGATTTTAAACTTAAATTCTCATATATTAAATAGCCACAGCATTCCAAAAGAAAAAGTTGCCAGTTATACATAATAGTGTTTAAATTAATTAGGTTTGGCATTTTTGAAAGAATTAACATTATAGAGGTAATTACAGGGAATATTTTTTAGAACTTTGAGATGTATAGCAAAAATTTCAATTTTATGGTCTATAATTTCTCTCTATATAAAGGTACGTATTATTTTTCACTTTATATCTCACATCCTCCTGTGTGAGACCTTTGCTTTGGCCCTGTTTGTCTGTTGCTGTTCTCTGGATATACACTGCTGTTCCTAACCTGGCACTGACATGCATGGTTGCATTTATTATTTCATTTATCACTTGAACACCTTGTTTTCTAAATGCTATACAAAGGTCTGGAGTTACAGTGGTAAATGAGAGCTATATGTCTCACAGTCATGGACTTTCTGAATTATAGTACCAACATGATATATAATGGTGGTTACAAGTTTTGGAATTAGACAGACATGGGTTCAAATACTTATTTTGCCACCTAATAGCAGTATGATCTTGGGTGTGTTATTTAACAACTCTACACCTTAGTTTTTTCATCTCATCTCTAAAAAGGAAATACTAAATATTTCTACTTGATAGCATTTCTATGTAAAGTCCTTGAGTTAATATTTGTCAACTACTTTGCACAGCCCTTGGCACACAGCAAGTGCTCAATAATGGTATGGTAATTATTGTGAATACTATAACTATTTCTACCAGAAAAATCATTGCACATGAAAAACATCTTTGTCCACAGCACATCATTTTTCTAAGGCCATAGTGCATGAAGAATCAAACTTTAAAGGCATGCCTTTCAATAATTGAGATAGATTCGTTGAAAGAGATAATTCAGTATTCTCTAGCTGATCGATTAAATGTGACCTTTGTTGATTTTAGTAATATTTAAGTGAGCAAATTTTAATTCTGTTTTTATTATATTTTATCTATTTATTTATTTTTAAAGATTTTATTTATTTGACAGAGAGAGACACAGCGAGAGGGGGAACACAAGCAGGGGGAGTAGGAGAGGGAGAAGCAGGCTTCCCACAGAGCAGAGAGCCCAATGTGGGGCTCGCTCTCAGGAGCTGGGATCATGACCTGAGCTGATGGCAGATGCTTAATGACTGAGCCACCCAGGCGGCCCTGTTTGTATTATATTTTAGATCGAGTTTTATAAAATTGTTTCTTAGCTTCAGAATAACAAATATAGTTGCTTTGTGTGCAGTTAGATTTAGCAGCTGGACACTGCTTTCCATTTTATTGTTTTGACATCTTTTGCTTAAGTAAGGCTTATTAAATGAAATATTATTCACAACATGGTAGTAAATACTTTACATTCTTCTTATGTACTTTCTCTGGACTTTATAAATGGCATAACTCAGTTCTCTGACCTCTTTTAGTATTAAAATAAGGTATTGAACCATTTTATTTACCTTTTGCAATTTCAAAGACCAATAATAAGAAATGTCTTAATTTTAAAACTTTTTGAATCTTAGGGCTGATTCTAGGAATCTTTAGATTCATTGCCAACTTTGATGAATGATACCTGAAGTGGAAAACTGCTCAAAGTGCGCAATGGAGTTCGGACCTATCATTTTCATCTTGTAATCTACAAAATTGGGGGGAGGGGATGAGACTATATTTGGACTAAGTACTTGGATCCCAAATTTTGTATTTGAAGGTAGGGGTATAATGGAAGTCATAGGATAAACTCCAAATCAAAAGGTAAAAGTATTTGAGATGAATCAAGTATGACAAGAAAGTATTTACGTGTGTTTGATGATGGGGTGGAAAAAGAAACTCTCAATTGAGTAGGTTAATCTTCTGTTCTTTTTTTCTTCTTTCTCTTTCCAAAAGAGTCAGTTTTGACTTCTTACAGCTGACAAATGGCCTACCTGAAATATTTCACAGAAGAGAGCAGGATTTAGACTAGTATTGTGTTATTTAACTTTTTGCTAAACTGAAAATTTTCAGTATGTTTAATTGGTTCATCTTTATCAAGTAGGACAAATATAAAACTTTAGGGAAGAAACTTGTAACATTATTAAATATAATAGCTTAGGGGCGCCTGGGTGGCTCAGTCGTTAAGCATCTGCCTTCGGCTCAGGTCATGATCCCAGGGTCCTGGGATCGAGTCCCACATTGGGCTCTCTGCTCAGCGGGAAGCCTGTTTCTCCCCCTGCTTGTGTTCCCTCTCTTGCTGTCTCTCTCTCTGTCAAATAAATGAATAAAATCTTTAAAAAATTAATAGCTTAGAAGTAGTGGTAACAGTGAGAAATAAAAACATTAAAAAATTAAAATGGGTGATGACAACAGGACTTGGGGTTAGTTTACAGGGAAGATCAGTGGAACCCCAACATTCATTCAAGACTAAACAGAGATATATTGTTAATCTTGATAAGAACTGCTTTGGTTGGAGGAGTTAGGACAGAAGTCATATTTATGAATTCAACAGAGAACAGGAGGAAAGTAAGTAAAAGCAATAAGTATTGATAACTCCTGAGTATCATTGCTAGAAAGGCAATAAGGTGATGGGGGATAGCTAAAGAGAGATGTAGGGTTAAGGAAGGGATTTGGGGTATTGTTTTGTTTTGTTTTAAAGATTTTATTTATTTGATAGAAAGAGACACAGCGAGAGAGGGAACACTGTATTGTTTTGTTTTTTAATCCTGGGAAATATTAGGACTTACTAGCTTGTGGATGGATATGGTCCATTAAAAAGGGAAAGTTATAGTTACATACGGGAGATTCGGGGCAATTTCTCCATCATTGACTTTAGTTTGACAAGTGATGGCAGCCACTGTATAAGTTTAGGGTTTGTCTTTAGATAAGAACATAGTTAGTTCATTCATGGTAATGTGTAGGAGAGCAAAATGTATGAAAATAAATATAGGTAGATTATTGATCTAATGAGAAAAGAGGTAGGGGTTTTCTTCTAATTGCTTCGATTTTTTAATGAATTTTCTAGGTCTTCAACTGACAGTATCTGAGAGAAGGAGAGAGGAATTGGACTAGGGGAGTACAAAGGAAAAAGAGCTTCAGAAAACCATATATTTCAAGAAAAAAACCTGGCCTGCTTTACATATTTATATTATCCACTTGGCTCTTGACGTTATTATTCGGGTCCTGATTAAACTCTTTTCTCTCTTTTGGAGAGTTGTTTCTCTCTTACTTCTTGGCTCCTTTTTGCAGGGGTGGGGATAAAAACAGTTCTTTCTTCGGACAAAGTTATCTCTTTTGTCCTAATAAAAAGATAAACAACAAAATACTTTTTGACAGCCTTTTATATCCAGATATATCCAGTCACTAAGTTGTATTTATTCTTATTAATTGCAGTGTCAAAAACTAAAGAAAAGGACTATTGATATTCCAGATTTCACTTTTTAAAAAATTTATCATAATTTTGTTTTTCTTCTTCTTTTAGATGTTCTTAATAGTTGCTCCTCTTTCTGTCCTCTACAACTGGAGGGATGAATTGGACACCTGGGGATATTTCAGAGTCACTATTTTACACGGTAACAAAAAAGACAATGAACTGATTCGTGTAAAGCAGAGGAAATGTGAAATTGCTCTAACAACTTATGAAACGTTACGTTTATATCTGGAGGAACTTAACAGGTAATGGGAATAATGAGAATGATTGCATTAATATTCTGTTTACACCCATTGTATTTATCCCTTTATATTGTGATTTTTTAAAAAGTTCTGAATATTCCTTAGCATAATTTCATTTCATTTCAGAATTATTAAAATAGTTTATAATAATTTATTTTCTAAAAAGGAAAATCCTGTGGGGGGCCTGGGTGGTTCAGTCAATTAAGCATCCCACTCTTGATTTTGGCTCAGGTCATGATCTCAGGGTCGTGGGATTGAGCCCTATGTCATGCTCTCTGTGGGCGTGGAGCCTGCTTAAGATTCTTTCTCGCCCTCTCAAAACAAAACAAAAGAAAACAAAACCTGCATCAGATTTTATACAGTTCATTCTTTTTCCTTTATGCCGTCTCCAAACAATGTGTGTTAAAGAAGGGTAATACTATCCTAAATTTTACACATATGGCACCTGTAGACTAAGAGCAATTTTCATGAATGATTTTAATTATGGGAATCTGTTGCGAATTTGAGTGGCAAAAAGTACATACACATATTGAGAATCATTGTTCCAGGATTATAAGTACCCAAAAGAAATGAACTGTCTTATGCCTGACTGCATCTTAAGATTTTGATGGGGCATCTAGAGGCATAACTATAAAGCCATGTGAGTGTTATGATATGTGACAGGGGATGTTGTGGGAGCACATAAGAGACCTAATTCTGCTGCAAAGTGAGGAGAGTTGTCAGGGAGCTTCCCAGAGAAGATGACCTATGAGCTGAGTAAGAGTTGAAGGATGAGTAAGAGTTGAAGAGTAGAAGAGTAATGCAGGAAGAGGGAGCAAAGAGCATTTGCAGAGGCCTTCAGCCCACAAACATCATGGCCCACTTTTGAATAAATGAAAGCAGTTCTGATGCATTCTGTATCTCATGGCTGCAGCATACATGTAAGAGGGAAGTGGCTGGGAGACAACAACTGTGTGGTAAGCAAGGAACAGATTATAAAAGATACTGAAAGCTGTCTGGAGGATTAGAGGTCTTTATTCTTAGAGTAGTAAAGTGCCCTAGAAATGTTTACAGTGGATTACTAATAAGATAAAAATGGTCAGATTTGCATTTTATAAGTAACCTATCTGCTGTGTGTACAGACAGAGGAGAACCAAACTAAATGGAGAAAGACCAATTAGAAGACTTATTATGAGCTAAATTGTGTCCCCTCCAAGTTTGTATGGGCAAGTCCAAACCCAGGGACCTCAGAATGTAACTGTATTTGGAGATAATATTCTTAAAGAAGCAATTAAGTTAAAATGAGGCCATGAATGTAGCCTAGTCCAATCAGGCTGGGGTCTTTAGAAGAGAAAGAGATACCAGGAACTTGAGTGCACAGAGGAAAGGATACATGGGGACACAGCAAGAAGGCAGCCATCTATAAGCCAAGGAGAGAGGCCTCAGAAGAAACCAAACCTGCCAACACTTTGGTCTTGGATTTCTAGTCTCTAGAACTGTTGTGTCTGGCACATCATAATATTTTTGCTCCTCATAGTATTTTTGAGATTCATCCATGTTATTGAATGTATCTGTGATCGTTCTTTTTTAATCCTGAGGTGTATCGCATTTTATGAATACACCACATTTTGTTACCCATTATTTTGAGGATAGATATTTATATTTGGGTTTTCCAGTTTTTGGTTATAAGTAAAACTCTAAGGAATATTATTGTAGAAGCCTTTTTTGAAGCATACATTTTCATTTATCTTGGGTTGACATATTTGCATTTCCTGGGAGTGGAATTGTTGGGTTATATAAGTATAGGTTTAACTTTAGAAGAAACTGCCAAGCCATTTTCCTGAGTGGTTGTACCATTCTATTCCAACTAGCGATCTATGGGACTTAAGTTGCTTTCTATATTCACCAACATTTGGCATTATCAGTCTTTTTGTTTTTAGATATTTTAGTGTGTCTGTGGTGGTACTTTGTTGTATAACTTGCATTTTTCTGAACTATGTATACATGAAAAAAATGTTTATTCTACAGTTAGATAGAGTGTTCTATAAATATCAATAAAGTCAAGTTGGTTAGGAGTTGTTCTTAATGTTCTCTGTCTTTACTAATTTTCTGTTGTTTTATAATTTCTGAGAGAAAAATGTAATCTTCAATTATACTTGTATATTTTTCAATTCCTTTGGGTTCTGTCAGCTTTAAGATCATATATTTTGAAGCTCTTATTGGGTACACACACATTTAAGATTGGTATTTTTTTCTTATGAATTAATCCTTTTATCTTAAAAAATGTTCCTTTTTATATCTTGAAGTTTTATCTGATATCAATATAGACAATACAGTCTTCTTATACTTACTGCATGTTTATCATTTTCTATCTTTCTACTTGAATATATTGGTTCTTTATATTTAAAGTTAGCCTTTGTGGTTAATGATAGGTCTTTTTTTTTATCCATTCTGATAACCTGCCTCTTATTTGGAGTTGTTAGTCCATTTACATTTGATATAATTATTAGTAAGGTGGATTTCCATTTTTGTCAGCTCTAAGATTTGATTTTACCTCACTTAGAAGCTAATAATAGCCTGCTCCTGTTTCATGGATGCTATCAGAAAGATAGGAATAATCTGAGGCATGGAGAAGTTAAGTAACTCACCAAAGCCTACAGCAGCTAAATCATTGGTAGACATGAAATTTAAACTTTGACCAACTAACTCCAGAACTTGGGCTTTTATTTAATATATTATATGACCCCAAAAGATGTTCTGCACTTACATAAATATAGTAAGGTAATTGTTCATCATAGCATCAATCATATTTTAATTTTTAATTGTCTGCCCCTTTAGACTGTGAGGACTTTGGTGTAGGATAATTTCTGTATTTCAGTGCTTATTACACCTCTAGCACATAATACTTGCTGAATACATGTTTGTTAAGTACTTATTTTCTGTGATTGTTACAAATATTAAATAAGAATTCTGAAATGGAATTTTGTCGGTATGTATCCCAGATTTCTGTGTAAAATTGAAAAATGTCACAGTGTTTGTTATATGTAGCTTTTTGTTATTTGTTCAAATGGCTTTATTTTGACGAATGTTCAAAATAATTTAGATTTCATTTGAGTAAATATTAAATAATTCTGTTTTAGAGTTGCTGCAATCTGGTATTTTATTTTTTTATTGAAGTATAGGTGACATACATGTTATATTAGTTTCAGGTGTACAACATAGTGATTCAACAAGTTTATATGTTATGCTATGCTCAAATATTAAGTAATTTTTGTGAGAATAGTACTCTGTGATAGAACAGAATTAAACATTGATCATAGATAATCCAGAGTAAACACACTATATGAGTGAGCTATGTCTCTTTTTGTTATTATTATTATGTTTTGCTTCATTTTTATCAGTTATATATGTATATTATTTAGATATCCAAATATGAAAAACTGCAATTCACTCCTTCCTGCCACCTCTATTACCTGTTCTTCAGACACAACCATCTTCAATTCTTTTACTTCTCTTCCTACTTTTACCACCATATTATCTCTAAAGAAAATTTTTATGCTGCAACTTTTAATTTTTTTTATTTTTTATTTTTTTAGTTTTCAGCACACCTGCTGATTTCTTCTTAGATTTTGTCCTTTTGCTTAGTTGAGGGTGACCTGGCTGGACTATTTTATGGAGTAGGAACTACTAGCTAGGAGATCCAGTTGCTTCTTAGACTTGAACATTTGTATAACTCCAACTTCCAGAGGCATCTGGTACCACCAATTCCTAGCTTTTTAAGACCACTACTGGCATAGGCTTCTGCTTTCTCTGCTTTTGTAAGTCATCTTGTTCATTTTCTTCCCAGCCTCTAAAATTTTGTGGTCGTTTTTTTCCTCTTTCTCTTTGTTCTTTTGTTCTTTTTCAACTTTATATTAAGAAATTATCAAACCTGTAGAAATACTGAAGTAACAATATATGAACATCTATATGCTTACCACCTATACTCACCAGTTCTGTGTGTGTGTGCTTGTCTGTGTGTGTGTGTGTGTGTGTGTGTATTCAAATGTTGGCAAAATATGTTAATCTATGTGTGTCTATGTCTATGTACAGTGGTGGTATTAAGTCATTTCAGTAAATTGTAAATAACATGACAATATAATCCCAAAATATTTAGCATAGATTTCCTAAAACTAATTATATTTTTTCTCATACCACATTATCATTGTCACACCTAAAAAAATTAACAGCAATTAAAATTTCCTTACTTATCTTCAAAATATTGTTAATATCCAGTATATGCAAAGCAGGATCCAATAAATGTTCAAATGATGGATTTGTTGATTAAGTCTGTTTAGTCTTTTCTAATCTGGGACATTCCCCCAACTTCACTTTTTTATTATACGATATTTTGAGAGGATCAGGCCAGTTGTCTTTTAGGATGTCTCAAATATTAGATTTGTCTATTTATTTTCTCAAGGAATTGTGTATTCCTTTACATCTGTATTTCTATAAGCTGATTTTGGTCTAAGGCTTAATTAGATTCAGGTTAAACATTTTTGATAAAAATACTTCATAAGTGAGGCTGTGGGCTTCATATTACATTACTTCAGGAGATATTAATGTCAGGTTGTTTCACTATTAATGATGCCAAGTTTGTCCTACAGGCTAAAGAAGTGGTCATCAGAGATTATAAAGTTATGTTTCTCCCTTTACAATTGTGGGGTGATACTTTGCCACTATTTGAATATTCTGATCCTTCAGTCCTTTTGCTTAGTGGTATTAGCATACAAAAATTATTCTTGCCTCAATCAGATATTTTACTGGGTTTTACAAAATAATGTTTTCCTGAATTTATCATTTCTTCTACACTTATTAACTGGCATTCTCCTTTAATTAGGAATTAACTATAATATCAACTAAAAAAGCAAGGCAAGTGCTTGATTCTTCGGCCAACTTTCAGACTAAGATGATGGTGTGATGGTCATCTACAATGATAGCAAAGTTTTCTTCCCATCTTCCCCTTTTCTGAGTGTCACTATGGATTAATGGATTAATGAAGTAGATTTGACATACCATTGAATATACCCATTCTAAGTAGAGAATGATTTTTAGTAAATTTATGAAGTTGTGATTATCACCACAATCCAGTTTTAGAATATTTCTATCACCTCAAAAAGTTTTTTTTGCTTCGAGTCAATCAGTGGTCCCATCTCCAGTTTCAAGCAATGCAGTCTGCTTTCTGTCTCTCTAGATTTGCCTCTTCTGGAAATGTGATGTAAAGGGCATCATTCACTGTGTAGTCTTTTGTGTTTGATTTTGAGGTCCATCATGTTGTAGCATGTTTCAATAGTTGGTTGCTTTTTATTGCTTAACAGTACTATTATATGTATATACCTCATTTTGTTTATCTATTCATCATGCATGGACATTTGGATTGTTTCCAGTTTTTGGCTGTCAAGAATAATGCTGTGAACATTTATGTACAAGTCTTTGTGTGGATGTAAATTTTCTTTTTTCTTTTTTTTTTTTTTTTGACAGATACTTAGGAACGGAATTGCTGGGTGTTAGGAGAAATTTAACTTTTTAAGAAACTGCCAAATTGTTTTAGAAAAGTAGCTGCACAAAAAAAAAAAAAAAAAGCAAAAAGCAAAAAAAGTAACTACACTTTCCCCAAAACAGTGTATGAGGATTCGTTTCCCCATATCCTTGTCAACACTTGATATTGTCAATCTTTTTTTGATTATAGCATTCAAATGGGTTTGTGGCAGTATCTGTGGTTTTAATTTGCATTTTTCTAATGACTAAAGATGTTGAGAATCTTTTATGTACTTGTTTGTCCTTTGTATATCTTCTTTGGTTAAATGTCTATTAAAATACTTTACTCATCTTTTAAATTGGATTGTTTTAGCTTGTGTTGAGTTGCAATAAGTCTTTATATAATTTGTGTATAAGCTCTTTACCAGATTATGATCTGCAAATGTTTTCTCCCAGTCTGTAGCATGTCTTTCATTTTCCTATGGTTTCTTTGGAAGAGCAGAAGTTTTAAACTTTAATAAAGTCCAACTTATCAAAAATTTTTTATTGGTGTCATATCTAAGAAATTTATGCCTAACCCAGAATCACAAGATTTTTTTCCTATGTTTTATAAGTTTTATAGTTTTGGCTTTTATATTTAGGTTTATGATCTGTTTTTAGTTTATTTTTGTTTATGGTGTGAGGTAAGGATCTAAATTTTTTTCATAGAATTTTGGGGTTTTTATTTATTCAGTGTTCTATATTCAGTTATAATCATTATTCTTAATGATGCTGAAATTTTCCAATTAGTTTGGCTTTTGTGTCCTTTGGACATGCCCTCATTTGTCTATGGATACATCTGTGTTTTCTGGCTCTTCACTATTTCCCCTGCTGCATGTCTGAAATCAATCATTTCGCCATGGGGTTCTGTTTTGTTTTGTTTTTGTTTTAGTGGACTGACTACTATGGGTGCTCATTGCTACTGGGGTAACAATTGATTCTAAACCTTTTTAGCAGACAGAGCTATGTAATATAACTTTTTAAAATCATAAGTTTATATTGACATTTTTCATTCAGACTTGACATTACAAGTTTTGCTTTTATATTTCTCTAGTTTATTCTTTTTAAAAATCCTTTTTTGTCATTTAGTGATGTTTAAATGAGTTTTTCATTCCACCATCATTAAACAGAATCTATGCCCTTTTGTCTCCCTACATATTTTATTTTTATGGATTGTCCAAACCCATGACCATTTAACTAACTGAGAATCCTATGGAATCATCAAAGAGTAAATAGGGAAAAAACTCTAAAACTTTTGTAGAGAAAGCTGCTCTCTAAAAATTATACAGAGTAAGAAAAAGAAGTTTTCTCAACATTTCCCCCCCCCCTTTTTTTTCCTCACTTTGTAGTTTGGAATGGTCAGGTGTCATTGTGGATGAAGCTCATAGAATCAAGAATCCAAAGGCTAGAATAACAGAAGCTATGAAAGCTTTGAAATGTGATGTCCGCATTGGCCTCACTGGAACCATTCTTCAGAACAACATGAAAGAACTGTGGTGTGTTATGGACTGGTGAGTGAAAATAATTTTTCCATTTTGGAAAAGTTTTAGTATTTCTTTAACTTAATGTTACCCTGTTTGCTAATTAATAGTTTCTAAAAAAAAAAAAATTGTGTCTGTTTATGGATGTGTTTGTCCCAAACACAGTATACAGAGTAAAGAGTCCCATGAATACCTATCTTTATCTATTACTCTTGGCCCCTGCAGTAAATATCTGAACTTATTTACCAATTCTGTAATCTTATAGTTATTTACTGAAATGTCATAAAGAAAAAACATTCTCTTTTCTTTCATTTTGTTATTGTTATCATCCATGAACAAGTGATTTAGTATATTTCTTAGAAGCAAAAAGAAATCAGTGTGTTTCTTTTTAGATAATTTAATAAAGCTGTCATATTTTTTTAATTGTCTTTATAAAGGGCTGTGCCAGGACTTTTAGGTAATAGGATCCACTTCAAGAAGCAGTTTTCTGATCCAGTAGAACATGGTCAGAGACACACAGCAACAAAAAGAGAACTAGCCACTGGCCGAAAGGCCATGCAAAGGCTTGCAAAGAAGATGTCTGGATGGTTTCTCCGGCGTACCAAGACTCTAATCAAGGATCAGTTGCCTAAGAAAGAAGACCGGGTGAGAACGGCATTTGTTTAAATTATTAATTTCTCATCATTTATTAATTTCTCATGTTTTATTTTTTTCTGAAAAAAATTCTTTTTAAGAGGAAATCTATCTCCTGTGGTATTTTATGAATATAGTTTTTTGCCGTTTACTCAATGTGGAAAAAAATTATTATATGCAAATTCAGAAAGCATTAATTGAGCCCAATCTAACAGGTTAGCTAACAGATTTATTGTTAGTATACATTAAATTCATTTCTCTTATTTTATAAGAACGCTTTTGGTATAATTCTTTCTCAGTGAAGAAAGAACTCTCTCCCTAATTTGTTTTCTGTTTGTATTTTGCCCTTCATATATTTTGCCTACTATCTATAGCCCAGTGTATTCTTTGAGACCTTAATAACAGCTATAGAACTACAGTGATGAAAGCTTTGTTTCATAGGTTTGTTTCTTTTAGAATGCTATCTATAGTTCTACAACTAACTTAATTTGAAGAATTTTAGGAAAATTATAATTACATTCTGTCAATTGTTTAAGATTGTAGTGGTCCTCTTTTATAGTTTTTAATCTTGTGGTTCTTCTAACTCAGGTAATGGAATAAAGGTTCTATAAATTACTATGAACTAAGCTTAATTAATGTCCCATATATGGGCAATACTATCAAATACTCTCTAAACTTAGGATATCCTGTTATTATTACTTTAAAAAAATAGATTTGAAAGGAAAATAAACTGATACACAAGTTGGGGAAATTGACTTTTTGCTCTAAAGCAGATATTTTGTTTAATTGGAATACTTAATGAACCCCCACTTTTTAAAATATTTTGCGTAATTTTATGTATTATTATTTAATTGTCTGTCCAGTAGGAGCAATAACCATAAATATTTTGAAGAGAGAATTGTGCACAGAGTGTTTAGAGCTTGGGCTCTGAAATGAAATAATATAGGCTTGAATCCTGGCTCCCCTACTTAGAGGAGTTTTGTGACCTTGAGCAATTTGCTAAGTCTCCCAAACCTTGGTTTCTTTATCTGTTAAATAGGAATGATGATAGCAGTGTCTGCCTTATATGGTGCTCTGAAGTGTGTGGCATGTGAGAAGTGTTTCGTGAATGTTACTACATGTTTTAAGGTACTTAGGAATAAATTTAACCAAGGAGGTGAAAGACCTATACGCTGAAGACTATAAGAAACTGATGAAAGAAATTGAAGAATGGGGCGCCTGGGTGGCTCAGTTGGTTAAGCACCTGCCTTCGGCTCAGGTCATGATCTCAGGATCCTGGGATCAAGCCCCGCATCAGGCTCCCTGCTCGGCGGCAAGCCTGCTTCTCCCTTTCCTACTCCCCCTGCTTGTGTTCCCTCTCTCACTGTCTCTCTGTCAAATAAATAAATAAAATCTTAAAAAAAAAAAAAGAAATTGAAGAAGACACAAAAAAATGGAAGGATACCCATGTTCGTGGATTGGAAGAATTAATATTGTTAAAATATCCATACTACCCAAAGCCATGTATAGTTTCAGTGCAATCCCCATCAAAATTCCTATGGCATATTTTTACAGGAATAGAACAAACATTCCTAAAATTTGTATGGAACCACAGTAGATCCTGAAATAGCCAAAGCAATCTTGAGAAAGAACAGCAAAGTTGGCAGGCATCACATTTCCTGATTTCACACTATGTTACAAGGCTCTAGTAATCAAAACAGTATGGTACTGGCAAAAAAACAGATACATAAATCAGTAGAGTAGAATAGAGAACCCAGAAACAAACCCACACATATACAGTCAAGGGAGCTAAGAATACTCAGTGAGTAAGAGAGGAAGATACTCTTTTCAATAAGTGGTGGTGGGATAATTGGATATTCAAATGCAAAAGAATGCAGTTGGACTCCTGTCTTATACCTCTCACAAGAATTAACCGGAAATTGATTAACGATTAAAACACAAGACATAATCTTTCAGAACTCCTAGAAGAAAACAGGGAAAGAGCTCCTTGACGCTGGTCTTGGTGATGATCTTTTGAATATGACATCAAAAGTATAAGCAACAAAAGCAAAAATAAAGAAGTGAGACTATGGGGCACCTGGGTGGTGCAGTTGGTTAAGCGTCCGACTCTTGGTTTCAGCTCAGGTCATGATCTCAGGGTCGTGAGATTGAGCCCTGCATCAGGCTCAGTGCTCAGTGTGGAGTCTGTTTAACACTCTTTCTCCCTCACCCTCTGCACCTCACCACCACCCCCACCCCATCCCCGCACTCTCTCTCAAATAAATAAGTAAATCTTTAAAAAAAAAAGTGAGACTACATCAAACTTAAAACCTTCTGTACACCAAAGAAACAATCAACAGAATTTGTCATTTTTTTACAATATTCTGTTGTAGTGTTATATAAATATTTATAAATAGATGGCTTTTCCTTTTTATTCACATTTTTCAAAATCTTATTATGGGTTTTATGACCCTGGTTATATACAGCTACATTTAGAAGACTTTTACCAACTTCCAGTGCTACTAGAAATATAAGGTAAATTATATCCTGCATAACTTAGTGGCATGATTTTATCAAATTTTCTTTTTTTTTTTAATTTGGGCACAAAATAGAAACTTGTAGTTGATTTATGTGTATTTTCTTAATTCTTACCTTTACTAATCTTAGGAATTTATAGTAGGACATCAAATACAAATTGTAATATAAATAATAATAATAAAGTTTTAAATTTTTTTCTAAGTTTTCAAGGAATTCAGTAAGTACTATTCATACCGTTGTTCCAAAGTTTTCCCTTTTCTCCTTATCCAGTTTTTTTTTTACAGATTTTATTTATTTGAGAGAGAGAGAGAGAGAGCACAGCAGGGAAGAGGGGCAAAGGGAGAGGGAAAGCAGACTTCCCACTGAGCAGGGAGCCTGATGTGGGGCTCGATCCCAGGACCTGATCATGACCTGAGCCAAAGGCAGACATTTAACTGACTGAGCCACCTAGGCACCCCTCCTTATCTAGTTTTTTATTTGACCTAAACCGTAGTCATTTATTTGCATGATGGGCTAATAGTATGAAAGCCTGAAAAGACCCAGAATATATTTAGAAATATATAAGGAAAACACTTGTTTTTTCATATTTGATTCCTTTCAATTGAAAAACAAATTCTATGAGATTTATTTGAAAAGAAAGTTATTTATATAGTTTAGGGTAGGGTGGGAGAAATTGTCATAATAATGTATCTAAAAGAAAAATAGTTGGGGCACCTGGGTGGCTCAGTTGGTTAAGCGACTGCCTTCGGCTCAGGTCATGATCCTGGAGTTCCAGGATCAAGTCCCGCATCGGGCTCCCTGCTCAGCGGGGAGTCTGCTTCTCCCTCTGACCCTCCCTCCTCTCATGTACTCTCTCTCTCTCATTCTCTCTCTCAAATAAATAAATAAAATCTTAAAAAAATAAATAAAAGAAAAATAGTTTATAAGCAGTTTTCACTCTTACAGACTTCAAAATCTGATGTGCGTTATGATTACTACTGCTATAAAAAAGTACCAATAATTGCCTCGTGTTTCATCTTGGCAGATGGTGTATTGTTCTCTGACAGATTTTCAGAAAGCTGTCTATCAAACGGTATTAGAAACAAAAGATGTGACTTTGATACTTCAGTCTTCTGAGCCTTGTAGCTGCAGCAGTGGCCGGAAAAGGAGAAATTGTTGTTATAAGGCAAGCATTTCTGGGTGGTATCTCCACATCTTCCTTTTGATTACATAGTTCTCTATTCTAATGTTGGAGGTAAGGAGCAGATAAAATAACTTTTCGTCAGTTCTTTAACTTTAGATGACATAAGTTCATAAAAAGGAATAGTTTTCAAAAGTATTTTACAATATCAAATTGTAATCATAGCAAAATATAATATTCAAATATCTTTTCAATAAACTGGTTTTTCAGTAGCTCTCAGAAACTAGTAGCTTCAATTTGATATCCCTCCTTTCAACTTTTGTTGGGAAGTAGCCTACTTCATCTTGGGACTTCATCTTATTTTCAGAAGTTTCTCCTTATCCCTTAATAGTAAACTTAGTCTTTGATAGCAGGCTTAAAATACTATTCTGATAGAGGGTTAATTAATCGAAATTGTATATTGGTATAATAAAGTATTTTTATTTAGAAACAAATATTAGTTTGTATTTTCTTAACCTTCTATCTGTATTTCCTGCCCTTTTTTTTTTACCTATTTTATTATCAAGTTATCTGTCAAATATCCATGTACATAGAGGGACCCCGAATAAATATTTATCTAGATTGAGATTTATTCCATCTCTCATTTATTTTGCTGTTTTTAACCACGTCACTTTTTCAGAATAGCACAGTTTCCTCGGGCGCCTTGGAATATAAACAAGAGGACAGTGAAGGGACAGTGAAGTATAACCCTGCCCCCGTGCCATTTTTTATTACCAGGAACCTCGTATGGCAGCATTCTCTATCACTGTGGTTCATGAGGGTAGATACTTTCTGGAATGAGGACTTTCTCCCCTCGTTTCTTAAAAACATCACCAAAAGTATGATTCCACATTAAGTGATTCATAGATATTTTACATAACAGTTGACCATCATTTTCTCAGAATGTATTGTGCCGGGGTGACCAGATGATAAACATTAGCGTAAGCGATATAGTTTATGAAGTCAGTAGTTACATAGCCTTGCTTGTTTTTATTTTCTCTTTTTCTGGTTATAGACCAATTCACATGGTGAAACAGTGAAAACCTTGTATTTCAGTTACCTTGCAGTCCTTCAGAAGGTAGCTAACCATGTTGCACTACTGCAGTCTGCTAGCACCTCCAAACACCAGGTTTGAGTTGGCTTTTTACATTTCTTTGTGATGCTATTTGGTATAAAGATTTTATATTTGCTATAAAATGTCGTAGCCAATTATCTTTAAGTTATTTTTGTATGCAATTTAAGAGGAAACTGACTTGCTCATTTTTTAATTTGGGTGTCAAAGAAGTATATGCTCTTAAGTTTTTTAAGAGAAAATTGAAGCCTAAGTTAAAATAATAGCTCTTTTTTTATGCCTCTGGTAATGTTGCTATATTTGTTTTCCTAACATGTTTTGATATAATTACTAAGTAAGATATTTGATGAGTCGGTCTTACTCCATTAATAATGTATCTAACTCCATTTATCCAACCTACTGGATTAAAATGCACTTACAGTAATCTGTATGTTAAATATTAGGACTGTTTCCCAAATTGGCAAAAATCAGCAATTTCAAAGTTTAGACATAAACGCAATCATTTACTTTGAACATTTCCGTTGTATCTTATTCTAGAGCACAACGTAAATTAAAAAAAATCTTTAAGGCTTTATTTATTTACTTATTATTTTAAAGCTTTTTTATATAATGATTTTATATTTTCTTTTTGTGTTATAGTCTTCATGCTGTTCAAATATAATTTTAAAATCTTACAAGCATTTAATATTATTCTTTGATAGTACTGTTTGCTCTTTGGGAAGTATTTGATTCCTTGCTTTAGAGATTATAAAAGAATAATGATAAAATTATTAGTCCTATCATTATCTCAGAACGCATCAAAGCCATATATGATTAACATTATCACTTTAAGGGTTTCTGAATTATTAGTCTGACTTAGAGAAGATAATATCTTCAAAGTAATATATTCCTTCTAAATAGAATTTTTCCATAAACAATCTCAATTTATATAGGTATAAATGTGTTAAGTTGAAATTTCTTTTTTCTATCTTTTCCTCCTAAGGAAACACTTATCAAAAGGATATGTGATCAGGTATTTTCCAAGTTCCCAGATTTTGTGCAGAAAAGCAAAGATGCAGCCTTTGAAACCCTTTCTGACCCAAAATACAGTGGGAAAATGAAGGTAAGTGCTCTTCTTTCAGGCTGCGCACACATAAGGGTGATACACAAAATATTTATCAATGGTATGACAGGGCCAATAACTCATCAGAACAGATACCCAATCATTCAGAAGAAACTGTGGCCAAAGACAACTGATGTAGCCTTATCAGCATTTACTGGCTTACAATGAACCATGCATGCTGAGGTTCTCAGTTTGTGGTTACATCAGATATACTTCAGACTTTCCTTATTGATTTATGAGATGTATGCCCTCTTAAAAATGTATGCTGTTTCCACGTATATAATAGCTTATCTTCAAATGTTTAAGAGATTATCTACCAGAAATATAAATTCTAATGCCAAATACAAGGATGAGGATAGGCAATAGCTGGGAATTAGAGAAAGAAACTTCTTAAAGAGTTCAAGGTGGACAAGACCTCTGTGTCTAGACTGAATTTTCCGCCTCTTGTTTTTACTTGCCAACCTATATTGGAAAGTTGCTAAGTCTAATTTGTTGCAAGGGAGCATTTGTTGTACACCAGGAAACTGACCTGTAGATGCTGCTCTCAGTGATGTATTCTCAGGGGAGGGTGGGAAAGGTAAGGCTCCGTTCTCCAGCCATGACCCAGGCCTCGGGGCACTGCCGGTGACAGCTGCAGGAATTGCTGGTAGCTCCCAGCCTTTTGGCAGCCACTTTGTTTAACTCTTTAGTAACTATCAAGAATCTTATTTATGGATTCAGAGACTATTACCAAACAATTCCCAACATTATGGTTTAATTAAGAAGAAAGTAAGTTATTTCTTTTGGCTAAATAAATAAAGAAGTAATTTGAAGTAGTCAGGTGGTTTTCTTAAAATCCTGGAAATATTTTTAGCAGTTAATCTACATACACTCATCATAGTTTAGTTTGCTCAGACCTCTAATTCAATGAAATAAAATAAAAGCCAAAAAGATTACCTTAAAAACTTGTGTATGTATTTTTTATTGAGATATAATTGACATATAACATATTAGTTTTAGGTGTACAACATAATGATTTGATATATGTGTATATGGCAAAATGATTATCACAATAAGTTTAGTTAATATCCATCACCACACATAGTCTTTTTTATTATGATGAGAGCTCTTAAGATATACTTTCTTAGCAACATTCCAATATGTGATATAGTGTTGTTAACTGTAGTCACCATGCTGTACATTACATCCCCAGGACTTAGAACTGGAAATTTGTACCTTTTGACTACCTTCACCCATTTTGCCTGCCTCCAACCCCTGCTTTTGGCAACCACCAATCTGTTCTCTGTACTTATAAATACAAGCATTTTTTTTTTTTTTAGATTCCACATATAAGTGAAATCATAGGGTATTTGTTTTTCTCTCTCTTATTTCATTTAGCGTAATGCCCTTCCTGTTGTTGCAAATGCCAGGATTTCCTTCCTTTTTATGTCTCAGTATTCCATTATATATGTATATATCACATTTTCTTTATCCATTTATCTATCAACAGACACTGAACATTTTTTCTATGTCTTGGCTATTGTAAACAATGCTGCAGTAAATGTGGGGGTGCAGATGTCTTATTGAGATCTATTTCATTCTTTTGCATGAGGCTATTCAGTTTTCCCAGCACCATTTATTGAAGAGACTGTCTTTCCCCCCATTGTATATTCTTAGCTCCTTTGTCATTAATTAATTGACTGTATATGTGTGGGTTTATTTCTGGGCTTTCTATTTTGTTTCATGTGTATGTCTGTTTTATGACAATAGCATACTGTTTTGATTACAATAACTTTGTGGTATTGTTTGAAATCAGGAAGTATGATGCCTCTAGTTTTTTTGCTCTTTCTCAAGATTGCTTTGACTATTTGGGGGTTTTTTGTGGTTCCATGCAAATTTTAGTATTGTTTGTTCTGTTTCTGAGGAAAATGCCATTGCATTGAATCTATAAATGCTTTGAGTAGTATGGACGTTTTACACCCATTAGTTCCCAACCTATGAACACTGAATACCTTTTTATTGATTTGTGTCTTCTTTAATGTCTTATAGTTCTCAGTGTACAGGTCTTTCACCTCCTTGGTTAAATGTATTCTTAGTTACTTTATTTTTTTTGATACAGTTGTAAATGGGGTTGTTTCCTTAATTTCTTCTTCTGATATTTCCTTATTAGTGTACAGAAATGCAATGAATTTTTGTAGACTGATTTTGTATCGTACAACTTCACTGAATTTATTAGTTCTAACAGTTTTTTTGGTGGTATCTTTAGGGTTTTCTATATATAAGATCATGCCATATGTAGAGACAGTTTTTCTTCTTCCTTTCCCATCTGGATGCCTTTTATTTCTTTTTCTTGCCTAATTGCTCTGGCTAGGACTTCTAGTACTATGTTGAATAACAGTGGCAAGAGCAGGCATCCTTGTCTTGTTCCTGATCTTGGAGGGAAAGCTTTCAGTTTTTACCAGTGGGTGTTATGTTAGCTGTAGGCTTGTCATATATGGCTTTTATTATGTTGAGGTATGTTTTCTCTATACCCACTTTGTTGAGAGTTGTGTATTTTTAAAATAAGTCTCTGTTAGTGAGACTATTCTATGATTTATTATCATAATTCAAACCCAACAATAGTAAAGTTCCTAACAATCTTTCCTAACAATAGTTAATCTATTTTGTCACCCATTTTATTGACTTTTATTTATTTTTAAATAAAATAATATAAAAAGCTCAATTAATTTAGAACTGAGCACTTATTATCTCACTTATTTCCCAGGCCAGAAACCATGGCCTCCTGTGAAAACTGTATTATCTATTGTTATATATTTAAATTGCATTCATTATGATTCTTCACTAAAAAGTTACTCTTAATATTAAATGGAATTTTATAACTCTACATTTTATATTCTTATATACTCAACATATGATTTAAAATGTACTATTGGAGTTATATATCTAGGAATAATAATGTCTGATTAAAATAATTATTACATTCATTTTTTGTTATGATTTTTAGAAGGGAAAAAGCAAGCATGAATTGTTGCTGGAGGCTGGGTAGGTGCTTGTATATGTGAAAGAAGCCTGTAGTTTATTTGTTTTGTGAGAGAACACCAGCAAGACAGAGACTGATAGTAATAACCTAGGGTTATATTTTTAAGATTGTGTTTCATCATTTGATTATCAACATCATCTGGTGATTTAGTGATACAAAATGTATAGGCATATAATCTATTGCCTGTGGGGAGAGTTAAGAAATCCAAGTTGCATGTATATCTTGAATTCAGGTGATAAAAGATGCTAGTTATGCTTCTTTTATTATCGGTCAGCCTGCAGCTGTAATTTGTTTGTTGATGTAATGCTCATTTTACCCTTCATACCCTCAAAACTACACTCATGAACTCAACCTTTTTCTCTTATATGTGAAGGTCTTTTGTGATCTCAACTACTATTCAAGTGGATGGTCACAAGTTGAACTTACTCCCCTGATAAGAATCTTCATTTTCCCTTCCCTTGGGAAATACCACAGAGCCACTTACTGTGGGGGGTGGGGAAAAAGACTTAGGAAACCCAATTTAGTGCTGTTGGGATCATCTAGGGGTCATGTTCATCTCTAGGCCTGACTAATTTGAGAAAAGTTAGGCCCAAGATTTCTTAGCTGTGAACATTGTTATTTACAACACTCCTTGGTATTTACCCAAATGAGTTAAAAATTTATGTTCACACAAGAGCCTGTACACAGATATTTATAGCAATCTTATTTATAACTGCCAACACTTGGAAGCAACCAAGATGTCCTTCAGTAGGTGAATAGATAAATAGTGGTACATTCAGACAATAGAATACTATTCAATAATAGAAAGAAAGGAGCTATCAAGCTACAAAAAAGACTCGAGGCACTTTAATTGCATATTGCTAAGTGAAAGAAGCCAGTCTAAAAGGCTACCTACTGTATGATTCCAACTATATGACAGTCTGGAAAATGCAAAACTCTAGAGAAAGTAAAATGATAAATGGTTGCCAGGGGTTTGCAAGGAGGGATGCATAGATGGAGCACAGGGAATTTTTAGGGCAGTGAAATTATTCTGTATAATACTGTAATGGTGAATACATGTCATTATATGTCATGTATATGTCATGTTTGTAAAAACTCATGGAATGTACAACACAGTGAATTAACCCTAACGTAAGTAATGTAAACAGACTTTAGTTAATAATAATAGTTAATAATTTAATAATAATAGTTAATGATAATGTATTATTAATAATTTATTCATTCATCAGTTGTTACAAATGTACCACCCTAATGCAAAATGTTAATAATAGGGAAAGCTGCATGCAGGGGAGGGGCAGAAGTGCAGGATGGGGGAGAGGGGGTCTGTGGGAGTTCTCTGTATATTCTACTCCATTCTTCTGTAAATCCAAAGTTGCTCTAAAAAATAAAGTCTTTTAATTTTAAAAAATTAATGTATTATGTGAAATTCAAATGCACATACTTTATATAGAATCAGTTATTTTATTTAAAAAAAGCAAATGCAAAGCTTATTTTGCAAATAAATGCAAAGCTTACTTTATAAGTTCTGCAAGTATTAAAATTAGGTTTACCTGATCTGTGACATGTTTATTCACCATTTGATTGGTTATCTGAGTAGCTTTTTTTTTAACCCCATGGCTTTTTCTGAGGGATTGGATGGCGGGGGTCAGTGTTAGCAGTGTCTTCTCTTAGTCAACTATTAAAAGTGTCTTATATTTCTTATATTGCGTATAATTTTTTTATTTAAGTTTAAATGCTTATCAGTGAATAAACAAAATTGCTGAAGTGTTTATTGCATAATTCAGAAAAATTTTAGGCTTAGTTCGGAAAATTCCTTTTCTTTCCTTTGTGGATTACTTTTCCACAGTGTTCTGGAACTGTCATTGCCAGATGTGGAAATGCCTGTTTTAAAAATAACAGTATTACTATTATAAATAGGCTTTGGATTATTTGCTTCCTCCCTAAAAGCACTGTGTATGGGGGCAAATTATTGACATTTTGAGGTCAAAATCAAATCTGGAAGTCAGGGCTTACTGTAAATAGAGAAGCAGAGGGGATAAAATGAGAAGAGGTGTATATGTGACTGATTATTTTAAGAAAATAAATATCAAGACTTTTAGAACCTAGATGTAATTAAACACATTTCATTATATCTATCTAGAAAAAACTTAAATACTTCCTAAAAGGAATGCTGTTCTGTAATTTAGTTTCTGAACATATTGTAGGTATAAAGAAAGTGTGTTTTAGAAATTAAATTAATTCATTTAAATGCGTCCCATAATCTAAAATGCTTCCTTTTTATTAAAACCAGATGAGATGAAACAAGTCTTTGGGAACCTTACCTCATTATTGACAATATGATGATGAATAACATCTCATGTAATATCTAATACTTTATTTCTCTAAGTTGGCAAAAATCAAGGGAATTAGGAAAGAGGACTGAGGTTATGTTATATAAAAATAATTTTTAGGAAATTCTCAAGTGATGTTTATATGTATAAAGTGTGCTTTTAGTTGGAACTGGTTTACTGGTGGTTGATTTCTGTGGTTCATTTCCAGGTCCTTCAGCAGCTTTTAAATCATTGCAGGAAAAACAAAGATAAAATACTTCTTTTCTCCTTTTCCACCAAGGTGAGTTTCTTCTGAAGTATATTTTTGATTGGCCCAGCCCTGATTTCTGAGGCAAAAAGCCTAAGAGACATAATGTGTCTAGCCACATTTTCTATCTTATACATAATGTAGAAAATGGTAGTGAGGTAAGCAACTTTTAAAACAAATGCTTAAATTTCAATGATATCAGCGTTATTGTCAAATAGCAAATACAAAGATAGATTTTTAATTCTCTCTTGGTGTTTTTGTTATAATTAAAATGTTCAAGACATTTAAGAGATTTTAGAACCTGGAAAATAGCACAAATAATGAAATACATTTATATAAATTGGCCAATACTTTTATTTTTATCTGGTTTTAGTTTAAAAACAATAAAGTTTGATTTTTGTTTTCTAAAAGATTGATTTTTTTTTTTTTTTTTTTTAAGACAAACATTGGTGAACTTTAAAGTCAGTTGCAGGATAATGGGAAGAAATACATGAGCCAGAAGCCAGGAAAATATTTGTTGCTCTTGTAATTGTAAGAAAGAACTTGTAAGCAGCAATTATTAATACTTAGTGAATCTTATCTCTATAATGGTATGAAACTTATTAAACCATGAATTTGTCTTTGCCCTTCTTCATGTCTTTTCTGTAGCTGCTTGATGTTCTGCAGCAATACTGTATGGCAGCCGGCCTTGATTACCGACGACTTGATGGAAGTACGAAATCAGAGGAAAGAATCAAGATTGTGAAAGAGTTCAACAGTACACAAGATGTTAACATTTGCCTTGTCTCCACAATGTAAGAAAATAAAATTTGATAACTTGATTTTTATCTAATTGCTTTTAAGATTTAGGGTAATTTAAAAATTATTACTGGATTAATTTTCAGTGGTTATGCTTATATTGCTTTGTTTTATTTGGCTTTAAGGAGAAGCAGCAAAAATGCTATTAATTATGACTGAAATAACAATATCTTGAGTTTTACCTAACCTTGTCTCTCAATTTCCTTATCATCACTGAATTCTCCTTATATGTCTGGGTTTGTAAAGATAACAATCAAAAGAAATGGATGTTTCCTCCCAGGAATTTTCTGTGATAGTGTTCTTATTCATGTCTTGTGGTCAGAACAGTCAAACTTAATTGAATAATCAAGTTATTAATCATATAACTGAGAATCATTTGTGGCAGTGGTTTTTAAACTGTGCTCAAGGAGCCCTAGAGAGCCCACTGGGCTTAGTGGGCCAGGTACTTCCTCCCTTTGTCTACCTGGTCTCAACCACAGCAGCTCCATATTAATAGGTTTTATAGAAGTTAGGTCAGTTCTAACACCTATTTATGAATTTCTCATTAAACCCTTTTAAATAATATACACACTTTAGAGAAAGATTTAAGCCAATATAAACACCTAAGAAGATTAATCCCTTTTGGGGGGTAACAAGTCCTTACTTGGACATCTAATGTAATAAGTATTTTATAGATCTGCCCCCATTATCTTTCAAAAAGAATTTCAAAGGACTTTAAAAACAAACATATGTAAAATGTAAAAAGTCAACACAATAATTACTTAAAATGAGGAATAAAATTATATATATGATGAGTGAGCTACTTACTGTTGAACACTGAAGTTATTCTCAAATTCTTGCAATGAAGTCATAAGGAGAGACGCTCTGGATTCCCATTTTCCTGTGAATGAATCAAGAAGTAATTTCTCACATGAGCCCTTCCTTACCTACAGAGCAATAAATGACATGGAATATTGTCTTCAGTTAAGTTTTATAAAGTACACACAAGCATTCTTAATTTCTTAAATAATGTTTTTCAAAGTCATAAATGTCTTCAACAACAGTTCAAATAGTATAGAACTTCTGATGACAAGCAGTCATCTCTCATTCCTTTTCTGCTCACTGCATCTAATTTGATAAGATTTGCCATAAAGCCCCTAATTATCTCTTTATATTAGAAATTGTTATTTAACCCATTCATTGAATTTTTAAAGACTGTATTTTTCATGTTTAAAAGTCCTATTGATATTTTCAGATCTGCCTGATTGTTTTTACTCATATTTTGTTCTTTATGGTTTCTAACCTTTCTCTTATTTCTTTAGTAATTTTAATCATTTTTTTTTAAATCTCTTTTTGAATGGCAGTTTTGCTCTATTAACTCCTGTACTTGGGGCTGCTAATCCTTCTGTTTGTTGTTCTTTCTGGCTTTTGCTTATGGTAGACGGTTTCTTCACACATTTTGTTATTTTTTATTTTGAGCTTATCTACAGCGGGGCTTTTTCCCTGTTTTAGCCAGACACCATGCTAGCCGCATAAGGATGGGAATCCATGTTTCTTGCTTGGCTTCTGTTGACATCCTGAGAGTGAGGCACTTCATTACTGTTTCTATACAGCCTCCACTGACATCACAGAGGGGATCTGGTTATAGCTGAGCGTAAATGAATGTCCCCAGCTCCTCAGTCAGTTTTCCCTGACACTCCCTGGGTGTGGGTGAGAGGCACCCCGTTGTAGTTAGGCAAGGGTGGAAATCTAATCTCCTCACTCAGCCTTTACTGACCAGGTTGGGAGTGGGACCATAGATTTTTTTTCCATGGTATTTACAAGGATAGGCTGGTTATTATCTTTCTGTCTTAAAGGCTATACCTTTGCTGGTTCTTTGGCTAAAGGAAGAAGGCTTTTCTTGGGGCTTTTTTTTTATCTTGACTGTTGGCATTTCCAGTATGCTGGTTTCTTCAGAACACAGTCTGGGATTTTTAAGCAAAAAGATAGCTGGAGAACTCATTGCCATGTCATTCCTTAGCTCGTATAGTCCCTAGCCAATCTTTGTTCTCTCTACCTTTCAGAATCTTATGTTTATTTTATATATGATATCCAGGGGTTTTTAGCTGCACTTAGTGGAAGGAATAAGAAGTACAGCTACTCCTGTATTGATTTTTAGAAATGTGTATAGTACTTTATTTAGCTGGACTATACTTGAAATTTTTAGAAAGTATGTTAGGAAAATCTTTACAGTATAGTATTTGAATATCCAAAAAATGAAAAAAACAGCACAACCCTGTTATGTGGGCTTTAACGGTCAGGTTTTTGGGTTTTGTTTTTTTTTAGGGATATTCTAGTGGTAGAAAAATAATATTCCATAGCTATTTCGTTTGTGGCATGTTTGTGTTTTAATCATCTTACTTTTATGATGTTAATGCAATATTAGAGGGCAACAATTATGTTTTTGCTATTTTAATATGCCCTTTTCTGTTTCCTCCAGGGCTGGTGGACTAGGCCTCAATTTTGTTGGTGCCAATGTTGTTGTATTATTTGATCCTACTTGGAATCCAGCCAATGATCTTCAAGCAATTGACAGGTATAATACTGACAAAATTTAAAGTGACCTACAAGTACTTTTTATCTAAAAATACTCCTTTTTGACTCTCTTAGGTTGCTTATTATATTACTGTGATTAGAAGATAGAGAAAACCTTATGAAAAAAATTGTATTTAAGATAACCCTGAATCTGAACCCAAATGGCAGGCTGATAATAGCAGTTTATTTTCTGTCCATCTCAAAATCCCATTATTATGACAGGACTGGTTTAAGAAGAAGGAACAAACCCATAATACTATAGGAAGAGAGGGAGGGTCACTACTAATAGATCAGAAGTTTTGAGAAACTCCTAGAAGATAGAAGGTAAACAGAACGTATATGATCAAGAAACCAGCAGAGAAAAGCCACAGTCCAAAGTCAGTAGGAGAGCACAGAGAAATTTCAAGCTTGGGTCAGCAACTGTAAGATGTAGAAAGAGACCAGACTGAATTCTTGTGGGAAATTAATTGATGTGCTAATTCTAAAACCATTTCCTCTCCTACACTCCATATATAAAGAGGGATTGGCCTACAACAGATGCCCCTTGATCAAAGGTGAAAGATTTATTTCATAAATTTTATAAATAAGTGGGGAATCAGACTGACAGAAGGTTTTTACAGTGGACATTAAGACCAGATCATAAAGCAGAGCTGAACCTAAAGTAATCCCAGATCTCCATGGAACATAAAAAGGGGGAAATGATTAAATTGACCTCTGTACCTGCGTAGAAATCCAGACCAGCTTTCCTATGCAGTCTACCCAGTTCCTCATTTGTAATTATGAATGGAAAATTAAGAATTATGAGATAGGGGACGCCTAGTTGACTCGGTTAGGCAACTGCCTTCGGCTCAGGTCATGATCCCAGGGTCCTGGGATTGAGCCCCACGTCAGGCCCTCTGCTCAGCAGGGGAGTCTGCTTCTCCCCTTCCCTTTGCTCATGCTCTCGCTCTTCCTCATGCTCTCTCTTTCAAATAAATAAAATCTTAAAAAAAAAAAAGAATTTTGAGATAGTTTAATAAAACCAACAGTATGAAAGAAAAGGGCCAAGATGAGAAACAGACCCTGAAGGAAATAAAATAAGAATAGGACACCATGTAAAAAATGTGCATAGAAGAGAAAAACAGAAATTCTTAGAAATTAGGGGCACCTGGTGGCTCAGTCCTTTAAGCATCTGCCTCCAGCTCAGGTCATGATCCCCACGTCAGCCTCTCTGCTCAGTGGGTAGTCTGCTTCTCCCTCTCCCTCTACCCCTCCCCCCAGCTTGTGCTCTCTCGCTCTCAAATAAAATCTTTAAAAAAAAAAGAAATTCTTAGAAATTAAAACTATTGCCAAATAATTCAGTTCAAGATCTAAGTAATAAAATGAAGAGGACTGAAAGTGGAGATTGATATGGAAAATAAAAGGAATGAATATTTTAGAACACAATGACAGGGCAGGAGAGAAAACATACAGACACATATTGGTGATATTTCTAAGTTCCAGAGATAAAGAAAGGGGCTAAACAATGCCAGAGTGAGAAAGAGGGAAAGAAAATCATTTATAAAACAAAGGCAAAAAGAACAAACAGGTTACAAAGAAATGAAAATCACACTCATTTCAGAAGAACAGACTTTGAGGGCGCCTGGGTGGCTCAGTCATTAAGCGTCTGCCTTCGGCTCAGGTCATGATCCCAGGGTCCTGGGATCGAGTCCCACATCGGGCTCCTTGCTCAGCGGGGAGTCTGGTTCTCCCTCTCCCTCTGCCCCTGCTTGTGTCCCCTCTCTCACTGTGTTTCTCTCTGTTGAATAAATAAAATCTTTAAAAAAAAAAAAGAACAGACTTTGAAGAACAGACTTTTCATCTACATTATAGAATTCTGGAAGACAGTTGAAGTTGTCAAAGTGACAAAATTCATATGATGGTATCTTCAAGAAAATAATTTTGATTTATAGTTGTAGTCAATGGCTAAAATATCAATATGTGAGGGAAAATAAAGCAACTGTTGACATCTAGGAACTGAGAAATTTATATTTAAGTCTAAATAATTGTTGATGGTTAATTTAGAGGCTTAATGCAGTTATAAAGAAAGAATTCTCAAGAATATGAAGGGATGGTATAAGAAAATTAGTAACAGGGGTGCCTAGGTGGCTCAGTCAGTTTAATGTCTGACTTCAGCTCAGGTCATGATCTCAGCATCCTGGAATCGAGCCCTGCATCAGGCTCTGCTCAGTGAGGGGTCTGTTTGAGATTCTCTCTCCGTTTCCCTCTGCCCCTCCCCTGGCTTGTGCTATCTCCCAAATAAATAAAATCTTAAAAAAAAAAGAAGAATCAAAAACTAAAATTCCATATAATTTCAACAAAACATAGGAGGTTGGGGATAATTGTGTTAGAATTTATATTTCATCAAAAAAGAATTAGGATATATTGGTCAGTTTTCAAGTTTATGCCAAAAAATGTTTTTAAGTTTTAACAAAAAAATTTAAGGGCAACAACTAAGAGAGTTGGGCATAATAATCACTTGGTTCACTTTTTAAACACAGATGTTCAAGCGCCATCCTCCTGGTTTTCTAATTCTGTAGGTCTAGGGTGGGGATCTATAGTCTGCATTTTAAGAAACTCCTCAGGTTGTATATCAAAGGACGATAGCAACAGAGTAAAAGACAACCCACAGAGAAAGTATTTGCAAATTACACATGTGATAAGGACTTAACATTTAGAATATATAAAGAACTTCTAAAACTTGTTTACAACAACCAAGAAATAAAAACCTAATTTAAAAATGGGAAAATGACTTGAATAGATATTTCTCCAAAAAAGATATACAAATGGCCAATAAACACGTGAAAATGTGCCCAATATTACCAATCATTAGGGAAATGCAAATCAAAACTACAATGAGATATCACTTCATACCCGGTAGGATAATTTTTTTTTTTTAAGAGAGCTTGTGTGTGTGTGTGTTTGTGTGAGCCAGGGTGGGGAGGGGCACGGGGGGAGAGAGAATCTTAAGCAGGCTCCATGCCCAGCATGGAGCCTGAGGCAGGGCTCAATCTCATGACCATTAGGATAACTATTATCAAAAATAGAAAACAAGTCTTGGTGAGGATATGAAAAAATTGGAACCCTTTGCATTGCTGCTGGGAATATAAAATGATGCAGCTGCTATGGAATACAAGATGGTGTTTTTTAAAACATTAAGTATAGAATCACCACATTTACCCAAAGAATTGAAAGCAGGAACTCAAATAGATATTTGTACAACCATGTTTATAGCAGTATTACTCGCTGTAGCCAAAAGGTAGAAATAACTCAAACCTTCACTGATGGATGAATGGATAAACAAAATGTATTCTGTACATAAAATGGAATATTCAGTCTTAAAAATGAATGAAATTCTTTGTATTATTGAGATATAATTGACATACAACACTATATAAATTTAAGCTATACAGCATAATGACTTACATATATTATGCAGTGATTACCACAGTAAGTTTAGTTAACATCCATCATCTCATGTAGCTTCTAAAAAACAAAAAGGAATGAAATTCTGATCATGCTATAACATGGATGAACCTTTAAGACATTATGCTAATTGAAATAAGCCATATATGTAAGGATAAATATTGTATATTTCCAATTATATGATGTATCTGGAATAGTCAAATTAATAGAGACAGTAGAATGGTGGCTACCAGCGGCTGGGGAAGGGAGAGAATAGGGAGTTACTGTGTAATGGGTACAAAGTTTTAGTCTGGGGTGATAAAGTTGTGGAGATGGATGATGGTAATGGTTGCAAACCAATGTGAATTTTCTTAATGCCACTTAACTGTATGTTTAAAAATGATTAAAGTGGGGAGAACCTGGGTGGCTCAGTTGGTTAAGCGTCTGACTCGATTTCCGCTCAGGTCATGATCTCAGGCTTCTGAGATTGAGCCCTGCATCAGGCTCACACTGGGCATTAAGCCTGCTTAAGATTCTATCTCTCCCTTGCCATCTGCCCCTCCCCACCCCACTCGCATGCACTCTCTCTCTAAAAACAAAAACAAAGACAAAAAAACAACACATGGTTAAAGTGGTAAGTCTTATATATTTTACCACAATTTTTAAAAACTACCCACGGGCGTCTGGGTGGCTCAGTTGGTTAAAATGGTTCCGACTCCTGATTTCAGCTCAGCTCATGATTGCCAGGTGGTGGGATTGAGCCCTGCATCAGGTTCTGCACTCAGCACAGAGTCTACTTGTCCCTCTCCCTCTGCTGAGCACTCCCCCTCCTGCTCGCTTTTGCCGACGCGCTCTCTCTCTCTCAAATAAATAAATAAAATCTTAAAAACAAACACCCAAGGTGATTTTGATACAATTAATCCCCAAATCCGCTTTGAGAAACATGGGAAATCAGATGTAAAACATCCAAACAGAACTTCCAAAAGAAATTTTTTAAAAGTCACTGAGAAAATGTGATTATTTCAGTAAATGATTGGAAATGTGAGTGTGCAGTGAGAGGGGAAGAAACTAAAAAAGCATGGCAAATACAAAACATAAAATAAACTGTGAGAAATAAGGCCAAATATAAATATGAATGGGTTAAAACTTCCTTATTTAAACAAAAAAAGAAATTGAAAATGAAAAGTTAGATTCAGGTTTATGCTTATTACTATATATAAAATTAAAAAATATATAGAAGGTTAAAAATAAAAATATACTTAAAAATCTAATCAGGAAGATGGTAACAAAAAGTATGAGTGGCAATATTAACATCAAGCCAAATATTAGTAGACTTAAAGGCAAGATGCATTAAGGAAAACAAAATGGGGGAACAATCCATGAGGAAAGTATAATAGTCACTCCATAACAAAGCCAAAACTCTTTTATGATTAGAAATGGACAAGTCCACAATCATGATGGGAAACTTAATATCCCTTTCTCAAAAATTAATAGATCAACTAGGCAAAAAAAGGAAATACATAATTATTTGAATAACAGTTATTTAGCCTTTAACTTAATAAATATATATAACCATAT